AGAATAACAAGACCATGATTATATATATGTATACTCAGTATGCAAGATGCATCAAATAGGAAATTTTAAAATTCAATTATGATAAAATTAGTTTCTAGTGGTGGAATGGGTATCAGAGATTCATTGCTGTAAAAATTAACAAATTAGTAACCGACTGTAAAGTGAATATTTTAACTACCTACTGTCAATACAGAGATTCACTGTGAATGTTGACTGGAGTAGCAGAACATGAAATATATATTTCGTATTTGATTTTGATAATTTTTTAAAAAATTTTCTAATCATTAGTTTTATATGATTTAATTTTAATAGGGAGAATAAAATTTTAATTTTCAAAAGAATGAAAACTAGTTTTATTTTAATAAATGGGAATTTTTAAAGCATTTAACATAAATCCTGATGCAAATTACATCAATTTTGTTTCGCACAAGGACAAACTAACATACACTTATAAACTAACACATGCTCAAAATCATGATATTATACCCCATTTAACTCTTTTACGAAGGGATAATAATCTCAAAAACCAATGTGCCATAATATTATGACATTTCAAGCACCCAAATTTAATTCAGATTACTTTTATGCTAATAAAACCACTGGTGCTCAGTAGAGCACAATGAATTGTTTGTTTATCGTTTAACTTCTCTCTCGAGAATTACTCACATGGAGAGGCCACCAATATCCAGTAGATAGCTGTAAATTTATACCTTCAGGGCTATTGAGTAGTAATGTATCTTTTTCGAGTGAACACCTACTGAGACCCACGGCCTATATTAATACGGTCTCATCCAAAGGACCGCTATCCAAATTCCACAGTATATTCAATTATTCATATTGATTTTGTTGTGTGGTTTAAAGTTCAGTTAAGTAAATGACCCATAGGCGCTTTTATATGTATATGGTCATAATATGTGGTCAATATAATAAGGGAATAAAGTGGGGGGGGGAGTCTATTTTAATTTTTAGGGAAAACCTGAAGGGCTTATGTGACTCAGGTGAGCTTTGTGGCCCACTTGTATAAATCATGTGATATAAAGTTTCAAAAAAGTTGATTGAACGCTAACTGACGTTAGTGAATTTACATCCTCTTTAAATGCTTCATTTTTTTTTTCTCGGAAAAGAATCGAGTAGGTGAAGATACCATGCACTTATAAAATGATACAGAATACCACAATATACAATCTATACATTCTTAAGTACCAAGAGTGGATTTAAATCTATTGAAGGACAACAACTCATTGTATTGGAGACACAGAATTAGTGAACAATAAATGTGGCAAAACATGTATAATCCCTGGAACCCTGGATTCGAGAAATTGCACCTCGCGTGGAAAAAATGACATGAATATCTTTGATATAACTAAGTTAACAATTAATTAACTTCAGTTACTATTCAAACAATTGAAATTAACGTAAATAAAAATGTTTAACCCTTTCATGCCGTTATATATATTTTTTCAAAATCGATTTATTACATATAAAATTATTCAATTTTATGAACTGGCTAATATTTTGACTTAAAGCTGCACATGATTCGTAAAAGGAATGTGTCCGCCATATTCGATCGGACTCTCGCTAAGATGAGGACCCCTATACATGTACGAAGAGCAGCTTATTTAGACACAAAACAGTGTATTCAATAGTCATCCGTGTACCTACTAGTACATCACATACCGGAAAACCTAAATAATGAATTGATACAGTGTTAACGTGCATTTAATTTGTGTAGATTTTGCAGGACTGATTATCGGACTGAACGCACCCCGTCCTGAGACATTTTAAAAGAGAGAGAGAGAGAGAGAGAGAGAGAGAGAGAGAGAGAGAGAGAGAGAGAGAGAGAGAATTTGTTTCCTAACTGTTCCCTATTGAGACATCTCATTTTTTGATGGTTTATAGATCTCCTGATTTATTTTTCTTTTGTATTAAAGTATCACATCTAGTATCATGTTTTTTGTTGTTTTTTTTCGCGTAAATTCTTATTTTTATGAAAGGACTTTATTCGGTAATAATCAACCCCCCCCCCCAAATCAAACTTTGACGGAGAAATATTTAAATATTTTCTAAAACAGGGGGATATATGCTGACTTCAAAGCACCGAATATTTTCATCAGCAATGATGTCATATGCTTGACATGATGTCACGAAAATAACGTAAATTTAAAATTTCCATGATTTCTACAGAAAAATATATATATTTAATTTCGTCGTTATTTTAAGTAAAAATCACCGAGCGCAGGTCTGATCAGGGTCAATATTTTGATATAATGTGTAGAATGATAATATCAACGAAATATGTAAATATCATTCCTGAGCAAACTTGCGCTCTATAAATTTTATAGCTAAAATTGTTGAAATTTTGTCCATTTTGTCCTTTTTTCTAAAAAATGATATAAAATCGGACGTGTTTGTGACGTAATAAAACAAAAATAGTCAATAAACTACTTTGAAACTATAGTATGTTCTGTTAATTCATATTTTTCATACAATTTAAGGATATCAACACATTTTTTTTTTTTTTCAAAATCTGACTTTTGTGGGGGCAAATATATGCAATATACCGCATATAGTTCTTTACACCTAAGCTTAATACAGACTCAGTAGTTCCTGCAATAGTTGTATCAGAGTTTACCTTATCATGTGGGGAGAAAAAAATGGGGGTTTATAAGGCGGAAGAGTCTTCAAGAGCAGAAAAAATACGACGGAAGTACACGTGAAGATCAGGGAATGGAAATTGAGATACAATTAAAGATGTTTAAAAATAATAAAAAGCTGAGACATTATCTGTATAACATCTGCCGTCAGTGCCATCTCGGAAGAAACCGAATAAAAGTTTGATCTTCTATTTCCTATTCATCTTTAGTGACAGATGAAAAGGATATATTTTTTAAGAGGAAAGAAGCCGATAAATATGTTAAAAAGTCAAACGAATGCAGCAATTTTAACGCCCTTAATTTAATAAAAATGTTCAAAAAAAAAAAAAAAGAAGAATTATACTCATGTACGAATAACAGATAATGTTCATCACAGAGATCAAACTTCACTGTTTCTAGTAAATGTGTTTTAACCCTTCCCCCCCCCCCCCCCCCCCTCCTCTAAAAGATACAACCATGTAATTATGTGTGTATTAAAGAGAAACTAATCTAAACAAAAATTATGAATCATTTTTCTGTAGATTTTTGTACTAGTGTATATACTTTGAAATAATACACATATTGTATTTCTTTACTTTTCTTAAATACATTTACATGTACATGCATAGCGTTTAAATCAAAATGAGTGATATTCTTACACGCAAATTAAGCATCGACGTCACATAACAAAAATCAGCTCAATATCTGCAAGCGTTAGAAAAATAGTATAGAAAACCAAGCTGGAGAGAATGACAGACAGACGGACGGACGCGGAGGAAACCATGTAGTCCTCCCCCCCCCCGGTTTCACTGGTAGGGGACTAATAACAGAGACTACCGGAATCTTTTTAACATGGTACAATGTATACCATTGTCACCCCCCACCCCCGCCCGAATTTACCATTTCATCGGACATATGTTTGACAGCAGGGAATTTTTTTGATAACTATATATATATGCTTGGAGTCATACTTTTTGCCTTTTTTTGTAACCATTATACTTTGAAATCTTTTTGACTGTAGAATGAGAAAGGCAAAGACAAACACTGCATGCTTACATGGATTATATTTTAAAAAAAAAAACATTGCTAAGATCTACGTTATTTATGAACCACTGAACACTCGAAATCAAAGGAAACGCTGTCCTTGTGAATGTGACACACAAATTACTGACACGGGAACTAGGCCCCGGGTTTTCATGGGGTTAAAATATATAAAATGTTCAAACACTGATGTATACACTTATTTATGCGGTTGTAAATCCCGTTTTTGTAAGCCCTTAAAGTTAAAACCTTTTACAAACAAAGTTGACTGTATTTCACTTCCTTGTGAAAAGTCGTCAAACCAGCCTACCCTTTTTATTGCAGTTTAACATGTTTAATTCCAATTTATTTCAGAGGCAAAGATGTAATCCTTCGTGGTTTTTCCTAATTTGATGTTGTGCTATAACACTGTACACTAATACATGTATCATGTGATCAGATTAAGTGATTCGGATTCCGAATCAAATGACTTAGCGAAGATTGTTCTTGTCGTTGAACCCCAGGCGTACAATTGAAAACAGAGAGAGAGAGAGAGAGAGAGAGAGAGTATAAATGTTATATGAAACATTTGTATTTGAAAGGTACAACTAAGTATTACAAATAAAAGTTGATTACACTCAGGTATCGCGCACTGGAATCGACTGAATTTATGACTCCTAATGTAGATTGCAGAAAATGGTAATTTAAACAGATATTTTTTTTATATAACGTAGGCTTAAATTATGGCCATCATATACATTTACCCTTTGTACACAATCGGGTGCCAAAAATCCACCCTCGGATTGATTTTTAACTACTAGAAAAGAAATGTCAAAAAGAAAAACATGTCACCGTATTATTTCCCATGTGCCATGGTCATAAAGATATGCAATAAATTTTAAAACCACTCCAAAATCAAGTTATGTTAATATACATGTGTAAGTGGAATACTTATGATTGAAACAACCTTGCAAAAAATTGTATGTTTCCAACGATTTGATTTTAATTTGAAGATTGAACTTTAAACAAAACTTAAATACATCTCTCTCTCTCTTCATATATGATTTATATTGTGATATTTACACACAGACGCTTAAGGAATTGATCATTCTCCTAACCGAGTCCGGAAATTCATTAAGTGCTATAACCTTCCTAAGTACACAGGCAGCGACAAGAGTTACTTGTTTTTAGACAGGAAATAAGGAAATTCTGAAAGGGGGGTCTTTTTTGGCGATGATATTTACTTTTGCACTGAAAACCCCTGTTATATCGCTGGAAAAATGTATATTTATAAGTTCACCGGAGCAAGCAGAATTATATTACCTACTCCTAAGATTTCTCCGGATTTTCCTCGAGCTCTTTGTTCAATTATCAGGAAGTAAATACTGAATTTTAAATTTATGTTTACGTATAAAAAAAGTGGTCATCTATTGTTGAATTCCTTTAAATGTTTTCGATTATAACGCTATTTCTATATCTCTGCATGAGTTGAGACACCTAATGCCTCTCATTTAAATATACCTTACTTTCTACGTATATACACCTGGATTCACCCTTATAGCTTGGCAATTCTAGATCGTGTGAATTTAAAACCCCCTTATTAATCTCCGACCGAAAGTATACACAGTGTAACATCTCAAGACCTCTGACGTGGTCAAACTTTAAATGGGCTGGCTGCTAAAACCGCCGTCAATTTTACTTCCTGGATTTTGAAGTGAATCTTTGTCAGTCGTCCCTACATGTACGACATGGGTAGAAGCGCTGTGTGGTTTTACTGTGTCGGTGGAATATTTTTGATTTTACATGTTGCCTATGCTTATGGTAAGATAGTATAATAATTAATTATTATTCAAAGGACAGTCGTCTACATATTCAACTATACATCAAACCCTCTGTATATCTCTCTCTCTTTCATCTCTCTCCCTCTCTCCCTCTATCCCTCTTTCGATCTCGATCGACCAAAAATACATTTTCGTGTCATAACATGTAAAGAACTCTGGTTTCAATTTCTTTATGAAATATTAAAAAAATCATCTGTATACCCATTTATCTGAAAATAAAAAATAATACAGTCATTGGAGCAACATCAATTATATTTTAAAATCTGAAATAGGACCGCTTCTAAAGGTAGAAAATGCCTCGGTGTTCGACGTAATATATTGATGATATTTGTATATTTACAACGGACGGACATACCAGAAAGGCATATTAGTCGTTATCTCAAGTAAACACAGGCGGACCGTGGACATTTAAAGAGATCATTGTCCTGAAGTCTGGGGGCGGATCCAATTTTTTTTCTTTTACCTGCGAACAGGATATGAATATCAAATTTAAAAAAAAAACAAAATATTGTGTTACTGCATATGAAATAAAATAGAAGTTTAGACCCATTCATTGTTATGAATAACTTATCAACTTTTACAAGGAACAGAAAAATTAAGTAAATGGAGTTTTGAGTCTTTCCCACTCATTTTCTGATTTTTTTGTAACATGTCGAAATGTCAATTTTTGTAAAAAAAATAAACAGTGGGGAACACTTAATCATTGATACAACAGGGCTCTGTGTAGCTGTATCAAAGACACAGTTTGTTCTTATCAGTTAAACAGATAATCAATCTTCTATTGACTTCCGTGTTCTTGATAAAAGCCTTAATATCAATAAACGATTATGCGTGTAATTCTGTTGGGAAGAAATGACGATTTCACAGTCTTTAACTTCATTACTTTATAGAATTTATAATTGAAATAATGCACAACTATAACAGAAAGGGGAAGAAATGCCTTTTTTAATTTTGAATGTTTAAGATGCATGTCTATTGAAATTTAAAATCCAGGATTTTGGATATGTGCATGTGGCCATATTATTTACGCTATATTGGTTACCTTTATTTGTATTCATGCAATTGTTTTCGTGTTTTGAATAGTTAAAACATAACTTTAACATCACGTAACAATACGAATACATATCACAAGTACACATGTATTCGACATTTTACCTTAAGTCTTTAAAAGATATTAATTTTCTATTGTCGTGTTTAACTAAACAGAGATGAATATATTCATTTCTATCTAATGAACCCCAAACTTAAGAAAAAAAGAAATCAATGTAGTTTTATATAGAGAACATTTCTGCAAAAGAACAGTTACTTAATAAAACAAGGTGTGCTTGCGAAACAGATGTCCTCGTATTACAGATTATAGTAAGGGTTAAAGTTTCTAGAATTTAGGCTAAACTCCAATTAGGTCAAGAGATAAAAATGTTGTTATCCAAAAAATTAATGTGTAAATGATATACGAGTATCTTTGAAATATGAAATCCAAATTACCAACCTTTTAAACATTTTGGCTAAATATTTAAATTTGTTTAAGGTAGGGCAAACTCAGAGGTCTAGGTTAAAGGGTCAATATTGAAGAACCCCAGGGGAAGGCCTTGTTACACGTGTAAGATAGATACACGTGTTATATAAAAGACATTGCCCTTATTGTTAAAAAAATAAGGCCAAGGCTAAGGTTTGGAAAAATTTGGTAAAAATGGATCAAACCCCATTGTCAAGGCCATTGGTCAAATAAGTTGGTACAGAAAAAGATCTTGCTACAAGGAATACCGTGTGAAATAAGATTGATTAATTCTATGTTGTTTTACGCCCCATTCGAGAAATTTTCACTCATATAAAGACACGTGTCACAATATGTACCGTTGAAGGGCGTCAAATTTTGACCGTCATTCGGCACTTAGTGCCATTGGGCAGTATGGGATCTTTATCGTGCAAACGCCTACCATGACCTGGAGTCCCGGTTTTTAACGTCTCATTCGAAGGATCCGCAACTTTTCACTTCGAAGTACCGAACACTCGGAGGGGAACAGTTTTTACCTTTTTTACCGACTTAGGTCATTCACTTCTGTGATTCAAACACACTTTATGATCACGGAGCGAGTGCGCTACCGATTGAGCTACGTGATGGCGTAAATTAAAATTAGAAAGCTATAACCATACCCACTCAAAGGTTATGAGTAAGGTAAAAGTTTTTGCTGACAGACAGATAGGCAGACAGACAGACAGAAAGGTACACATGGCAAAAACTGTTTACTCCAAATGTTCGATTACGGGGAAATAAAACTAATTTTCAAATCTAGAAATAAGATAAAGTCACATATTACCAACCAGAAAATGCATGTCAACCGAGACTGAAAATTTATGGTTTGGATGGATATGGGGCAATACTGATTACCTCTACTCGCAGTCACGCCTACGTTATGGATCATTAACACTACATTAACATGTATCTAATCAGACGTACATGTATTCGATCTTTTATCTTAATGGGTTGTAAAAGTAAGTCTTTATGGATGTGTTTCCGTTAACAGACACATTATGTACATGTATGCATTCAAATCTAATAATTGTTCTCCCTCCCCACTTATATATGATTCAAATACAGATTTATTTAAAGTGTCATCTTCTTTTTTAAAAGCTAAATTTCAAATTTATGAAATTCATACAATTTCTACAAAAAAAGATAATTTATCTTTTTGAATATGAAATTTTCACGTTTAACCTATATGACGGCAATTATTACTTCGACTGTGCTTTAGTACATGTAACTATAATATATAGAGGGTCATTTCCTTATCCTATCAGAATTTCTATTTAATGTCAAAGGTTTCTCAACCCATATTCTTAGTTTACTCCTGCTAATAAAATGCTTATATGCCAACAAATAAATGATTGCTTCACATATATCTTTTTTAAAATAATATGCTACTCATTTGATACAAGATAATAAATATTTGAATGACTTCCTTGATAATGATAATATGTGTAAAATAAACAGCTTTTAGGGACAAAAAAATGAATTTAAGAAAACATTCGTACCTTGTCCTCTTTTTATGCGCCCAGATCAATAGATCCGGGATGTACATTGTTTTTGTCATGTCTGTCTGTCTGTTTGTCTGCAAACTTTAACCTTCGCCATAACTTTTGAACCGTGGAAAACAGAGACTTCATATTTGCTATCCATACTCCACTAATGAAGCTCTTTTAAATGACACCAAGATCAATGACTTGTGGTCTTTACTGTGATCTATATGCTAAAAATAGCTTTTTTTCGGCAAACTTTAACCTTCGCTGTAACTTTTGAAGCATGAAAGATAGATACTTCATATTTAGCATGCATACTCTAAGATCTTTCAAATGATATCAATATCAATGACCTTGTAACTTTGACTTGAACCTATATGCTAAAATTAGCTTTTTGTCTTGAAACTTTTACCTTCGCCATAACCTTCGAACCATAAACGATAGAGAGAATGTCTACTTCAGTCATTAAGCTCTTTAAAATGACACTAATGTTAATGAACTTGTGACCTTAACGTGACCTATAAGCTAAAATAGCTTTTTTGAACTTTAATCATAATTTTTGAACCATGAGAGATAGAGCTTCATATTTGATATGCATATTCCACTAATCAATTTCTTTCAAATGATACCAAGATCAATGACGTTGTGACCTTGACATTGACATTGACCTTTATGCTAAAAATATTTTATTTCGAACTTTGTTGCCGCCGGGCGCATAGTGTTTCACAAACACATCTTGTTAAAGCTTATTAAGAACTTATTGCACATTTATTACGCAGTCAAGCAACCGGCAATTTGACCTGGCAAAACAAAAAAATCTCGTTTTTACGTACAAAACATTCTGATTAATATATTAATAAAAAAAAAAACCTCTACACATTTTTGGCAATTACGAGTTAAGGAAAATAAGAATTCAATTTACTTATTTTCATTTTTCAAGTTTTCAACATTTTAAATTAGCTTTTGATTAGAACTATAATATCATGATTTATTACTGCTGTTGTTTACAAAAAAAAAAAAAAAAAACAAAAACCAAAAAACAAACTTCAGAACAACACTGACACGTACTGCAGATAATATATTCAGAAAAAAAAATATTTTTGCATTTTCTTTTCTGAAAACACTCCAAAATAATTAAACCGCGGATGTGAAATCCTCATATTAAGATGATACTCGAAATAAAAAAAAATATGTTCACTTCAACAATTAGCTTTTCATTGCATTAAAAAAATATGAATTCGGTAAAGACACGATATTATAGAAATTAAAAACACTTCCTTTATTTGCAATTTAAACACTTGTGAATGAGTAAAAATTGCTCTTCTTTTGAGAGGTACAATTTGAAAAAAATTGAAAGATAAAATTAACATCCGTTTACTTCCTAGATTTGTACAAAATTACGAAATTAAGCAGCCGTAACGGAAGATGTAGTTTTACAGAGAGAAAAGTTATGATGACGCCATGTTAAAAAACAAAAATATTTGGCTGCCCTCTCCCGACTCGGTCTTTAAATATTTTTTTAAAAGTTCTCTTTTCCTGAGTATTTAAAAAATAATTTTTTTTTTAAAAATGCAATGAAAAGCTGATTGTTGATTCAGAAGTGAAAATTGGGGTTAAAGAGTTTTGAGTCTAGCCAGTTTTAGCTCACCGGAGCCGAAGGCTCAAGTGAGCTTTTCTGATCAAAATTTTTCCGTTGTCTGTCGTTGTCGTTGATGTCGTAAACTTTTCACATTTTCATCTTCATTTCAAGAACCACTGGGCCAATTTTAACCAAACTTGCCACAAAGTATCCTTGGGTGAAGGGAATTCAAGTTTGTTTAAATAAAGGGCCAAGCCCTCTTCCAAGGGGAGATAATTATGAATTAATGAAAAATTAATGGCAAATTTTAAAAGTCTTCTCTAGAACTATTAGGCCAGGAAAGATGAAACTTATGTGAAAACATTCTCAGATAGTGTAGATTT